CGAGGCAGCGGCTCCCTTGCTCGGAGGTCGTTTTCCGAGCGAACGAACTGCGCGCGGGGCGAGGCGGGCGGCAGCGATGCCGCGCCTGTGTGTGGGCACGTGCGCAGTGGGTCCGCGTGGGCATAGCATGCCAGATCCAGCCCCCGGGCAGCGGTTTGAGGACCCCTGCCCTAACCTGTTGGCTTCTTTGCTCTTTCAGAAAAAGAAATGCACATTCCTCCTTTTTAACCATTATATCACTGGAAATTCTGTGATCGATGTTTTCTGTGAGCCGCTGATAATTTTCCATGAGCAACCCACTGAGGATGGTGAAGAGGCTGCCTGGTCTATGAATGCCAATAGTGAAGAGGCTGCCTCGTCTATGAATGCCAATAGTGAAGAGGCTGCCTCGTCTATGAATGCCAATAGTGAAGAGGCTGCCTCGTCTATGAATGCCGATGGCTAAGCTGGGGTGGGGAAGCCCGCCTTGGCTGGCCCCCTTTCCTCCACGGCCTCAATGCAACTGCCCAGACAGAGCCCTGCCGGGCCAGCGGCTGAGTCCTGCCGCAGCTTGGCGTCCCTTTCCCTTGGTTCTGATAGAGGTGAATAAAATTAATTTGCAAAGCTATGTCTATGCTGTTTAAAAGCAATGAGTCCAGCTTCTCTGTCCCCACCACAAAGCCCCGTTGTAACCATGGGAGCAGCCAAACGAAACCCACACCGTGCAGACAAACCCTCGTCGCTGTGAGCCTTCCACTCTGGGGCCGCACGGCCTGGCGCATGGTGGGCAACCGTCTTTTGGAGGGCTTGCAGACGCCACGGTTTGCTGACAAGGAACAGACTCATTAGAAAAAGCCAATGTGTCCAGAATGGACCCTATCGTTGAGGCTTGATTCCCAGTTTTTCAACCTGTCAAGCTCTGCATGCATTGGACTACAGCTCCCATCAGCCTGCATGGCAGCCCTCACACTTAGCAAATGTCAAAGATGAATGCATGCCATTGTTAATAATGTACAAGATTCCAGTTTGTTTCAGTGGGACTGGCTTCCGAAACACATTTATCTTCCTGTTTAGCCAAACACAGGATAAAATTAGCAGCTAGAATGGATCCTCACATTTTCTTTTCCACCCAAACAGCCACTGATATTTTACTGAGATGTTTCATTCTAGAATCAGAATCACAGAATAGTAGAGTTGGAAGGGTCCGCTAAGTCCAGCTGCAGGACTCCCAGTTAAACCATCCCTGTCCAGTTGCATCTTGAATGGCCAAGCAAGGAAAAAAGAAAAAAAAAGGAAAAAAATACAATAAAGCCTCAGATGGTCTGGACGCTTGGTCTTTCCCACGAGCCCGAGTTTTATTCCCTCTTCTCAAATTGAGATTCCGGGATTTCCGACAAGGCAAACCCACGGCCCTGCCAGCCCAGCCCAGGGGAACGGAGCTGCGTGGGATTTGTGGGGAAGCGTTTCCAAAACGGGGCTTCCTAGAACGGACTCGCAGGAGCCGTCTGCGCTTCGGCACCGGCCATTCGTGTTGGTGACCAGCGACAAGCTGCGGAGAGCCAATTCAGTTTCCAGCTGTGAAATCTGGCTGCTGAAAAGCCTGAAGCTGGACAAAGGTCCCCAGCTTTTTATTTTTATTTTTGTACTGACTGCCCCACCCCCAAGTTCTTTGCTGTAATTGACAACAATGCAATGTAATGAATGCATTGCGCATGCCTTCAAGAGCTCTGGAATGCATCTAGGCAGAGAGGAATGACCCACATAAAAGGGAGGTGTGGCAGGCCCCTTGCCCAGGTCAAATGTTAGGGGCAGGAATGAGCACGCGCCCGAGACAGGCACCCATGCGGCCGGGCGGCACCCGAACCCTCGTCTCTGGCCTGAAAGCAGGGAAGACCCTCTTCTGTGCTTCCTACTCCCTGCCTGGGGGGTGGGCACCCAGTGTAAGCCACCGGCCCCTTCCGCCCCGCCGTGCTCAGCTCTTCCCATCTCACCTGTTGACCAGCTGCCCCTGCAGGGAGCTCAGTTCCAACGGCAGCAACAGCAGCGGCCAAAAACGCCGGACCTTTCCGTCACATCTGGACCTCACTCAGCCTTTTTGCCCAATATCATACAGACCTTGGTGCACAGATGAGGAAATCCAAGTCGCGGGTGCCAGCAAATGTCGACACACGCCGGGCAGGAGGGCAGCTTGGATTGTTGAAGGATGAAGCTGAGGGTGCTGGAACAGCTTGCGTTCAGACATGCTGTGCATACCTCTATGAATTTAGCCGGAGCAAAAGGAATTTTAAAAACCTGCAGATATTTTTTAAAACCATTGCCCAGATTTTGATATGCAGGCAACCTCTCTGAGCACCCGAGATGGTGCTCTCTTTTAGCTAAGGACAAGCTGATCCTGGAAGTACACAGGAGCCCCCCGGGCCAAGGTGGGCTTCCGTTACTCTGAGTTTCTCTCTCTCTCTCCCACCACCCCTATTTGGACCTCTCTTCATCCCAAACTTGGAGAATTTCTCCAATATTAATGTTGGCTTTGATGATATTTTCACAGGCATTTTTGTGCCAGTTTCCCCTGTGAGATGCAGATTTGTGTCTATTTTCCCCCACTGAGGGGGTGGATATGAAAAAGATCACAGCTGCTGCGGGCAGATTTGGGGGTCCTCTTGGAAGCTGGAAGGCGGGGGAAGCATCGGCTCCTGTGGCACGGATCTGAAGCTACTGGCACTAATGCACACTTGCTGGTCTTGCACTGTTCACATATTCTATTTCATCTAATTTTATGTATAATACATGTTTTTCATTGAAGTCTGATGAGCATTAATTGTGCTTTGACAGAGTGTCCCAAGAACCAACCAATGTATTGAATGTGATTCTGAGGAATGGGGGGGCTAGGCCGGTACAGATCACTGCCATGACACCATGCGTTTTTTAATGAACAGCCCTGGTTGGAGCAGTCCCCATCTTTTCGTGTTTGGCCGGGCTGTTTTTAGCAGCTGCGATTTCCCAAGAGCAGGTGAATGGTCTTGCGGGCACATTATTTCAGGAACCGTATGAGGTGGACCATTATTTTTAATCTTGGTGCCCCGCCTAGTGGCGACTGGGGGGATGGCAGCACTGCTCTGAAGCCTTCACAGACCAGAAGCCACGCACACCTGGGATCCCTTGCACCCGGGGCCCCGTGGGCCTGGAGCCCCCAAGTAGCTGCAACATCAGTCGCATGTGCAAAATGACCCTTTGGAACGGGGGGCACGGGAGGAGACTGCACGAGCTGGAAACGGGTTGGGTTTTTTTACAGTTCTGGCATTGCAGATGTACCCAAATGTACAAAAACAAGAAAAACCATCAAAAAATGTGCATTTCCTCCCATTGGCTAAAGCCTGAAAACATGTCTGGGGAGATCTGCGCATTTGTACAAAGTGCTCTTCCCAGCATGGACACAAGTGGCAGGCATGCCGTGAGCGGAGCCGGCTGGAGCCGGGGGTCAGACTAGATGCCCCGGGAGACCCCTCCTGACTCGCTCTGTTTCTAAGTCTGGGAAACAGACCAATCTGATTCCGCTCCTGAGTGGGTGATGGAAAGAGAGACTCCAAAATGTGGGCAGAACAGCGTGAGCATGGCCGGGACACCGGGGGGGGGGGCGGGGGACTGTCTGAGTAGAACCTCTCAGGGACTTGTGCCCAGGGTTGCCAGGTGACCTACTGAATCGAGGTCAGCCTTCTATTTAAAGGCGTTCTTTGCCGGATGAATAGCCTCGTTCGGGTCTGGTCTGGTCCAAGCGATTGCAAGAAGAGGGGCTGCCCCATAAGCACCTGGGAAGCATCCCGGCCAACTGCAGTTCCCCGGCCAGGAGAGGCAGGGCCTCCTGGAAGCACGCTCACACGCTCGAGATTTGCCCTGGCGTGGATCCATCGGCTTATGCAAAAGCAGTGCTGGCGGGTGCCAGATGCTCTGGCGGAGCACCCCCTCTTTTGTGGCCAGACGCAGCACGCCCCCATGCTGGCACATGGGGGGGCGCACTTGTGCTGCTGTGTGTGGGGCTGGCCCACCAGCCAGAGAGAGGCGTTGGTACTGCACGCTCTGTGGCTCAAACAGCCGAGAGATGCGCCAGTTGGACCTGAGCCAAGAGCTGATGGGCTGGAAAGCAGGAGGGGTGTCTATCGGGGGGGGCACCGGGCTGCCCTCCCCCCGCTTTTCTGTCAGGCACCCCTTTTTGTACATATTTGGCTTCTGAAATGAAAGAGGAGCGCTCTCCGGGTTATTTTTAGCTTCACCTGTTGCACGCCAGCCAGCTAAATGAGAATCGGATGACAGGAAGCCCAAGGCTTCAAAAATAGATAGATTTTAATGCCAAACGTTTGTGGATTAACAAAGCCAACATTCAGGCAGCTCACAAGCTGCGGACACGATTAACAGTGGAAGGAGCGGCGGGGAGCACTGGGCTGACACGGAAGGCGAGCGCGGGGTAAGAAGGGGACGCCTCCAGGCCACGGAATCGGCCCCTCTCCGCGCACTTCCGCTCTGCTCAGAACGGTGCCCCGTCTCCGGCCTCAGCAGGACCTCCTCGCTGCCGGCGTGTCAGACACTGCGGTGCAAAACGGGGGGACCCCAGACTTGCATTATGTAGAAACCTGACTTCCCCACCCCACCGATTACAGTTCGGCCCCATTATAGTTCAGCCTTCGGACAGGAGAAGCATTTGCGTGCGATGGAGGGCGGGTGCTGCTGGTTCCATTCCGGGCTGCAAAGGGGCGTCTTCCCCAGAGCAGCGGAAACGGCAGTTTAGTCCGTCCACATCGGTCTCCTTCGATGGCTCCAGATTCCCAGTTTTCCTCCCGGAGCCTTTCAGTGCACGGGAATCAATGCGTTGCCAAGATTTCCAGGTTATCTGAGGATATGCGGCAACAATCGCGGCGCTCGGTGCGTCCTCCGGCCGCCGGCGCTCCACCAAGCGGCCTGCTCGTTGCTCCTGCTCCGCCCCGGAGCGCCCCTGCCCGCCGCCGCCGCCCGCCGGGGACGCGCCCTGCGCTTCACAGCGGCCTCTGGAGCGCCGCGCAGGCGGCGGCGAGCAGCAGCGGGAGCGGGGGCGGCGGCGGGCCGGGCGCGGCGGGCCGGGCGGCGCTCCTCGGGAAGACGTGCAGCTTCGCGGCGTCCGGGTGGAAGGCGCGGGCGTCCTCCAGCGCGCCGCGCGCGGCCAGCGTGAAGTTGGCGTCCCCGGAGGTGGCCACGTCGAAGACGCACGCCTGGAAGTAGGCGTCCTCCACGGGCAGCGCCTCCTTGCACAGCCGCCGGGCGCGCTCCGCCGCGGCGCCGGCGCCGCCGTCGCGGCAGCAGCAGCCCTCGCGCGGGAGGCGCTGGCTGGGCGGGCAGCCCCCCACGCACAGCTGCAGGTCCTGCTCCTCCGTGAAGGAGCGGACCACGTCCCGCGCCGCGCGGATGGCGAAGGACAGCTGCGGCCCCGCCTGGCGCACCGCGATGGTGGCGCCGATGTAGGCGGCCCGGATCTCCACGTGCTGCCCGGGCGTGCGCTCGCGGATGCTCAGGCTGCTGCCCCCGGCGCGCTCCCCGCCGTTGACCGAGCCGTCCTCGAACGCCGCCGGCAGACTGTCCACCGCGGCCCGGTAGACCTTCTGGTCGATGCAGTCCTCCATGTTCTTAAAGATGATGGTGAGCTGCGGGGAGAGGTGCCGTGAGAGCGCCGCGCCAGGCCGGGCCGCGCCTCCGCCCGCCCGTGACCCTGGGCTGCTCGCAAGGCCTGTTCCCAGGCGCCCGTCCAGCAGGGGGCAGCAGTGGCTTTGGGGCAGTTTCTCTCCCGGCCACTGCCAGAGCGGAGGACAAGCCGCCGTGCACCACGACGCCCGGAGGCCCCCCGGGGCTTTTGCCACAGCGCTGCCGGCGGGGACGGTGCTGCCGCTGGGCGGGGAAGGCCGCAGCTGCCGGGAGACGGCTGCGAGGATTTGGAAGCGGGGCTTGGCACAAGCCGGCCCGGTGCTTCCCTGGCCGCCCGCCCGGCCCCGGAGCCGCCCACTCGGGGCGAGGGAGCCCGCGGCGAGGCCTGCCTCACCTGGCTGGTGACCGTAGCCCTGGAGCCTTTCGCCACGGGCTGACTTGTGGCCTGGGCGAAGAGGTAGGTGTTGTCCAGAAGTGGCCAGGCGCCCTCCACGCCGCAGGTGTAGAACTCGTCGCTGAAGGTCCTCACGTGCGGGTCCCCGAACGTGGCGCAGTGCTGGTAGGTGGGCGGCCGGCCGTGCCTGCGGGAGAAGCTCTTCTCGTAGTCGCAGGTGTCCAGGGACGCGGTGCCCTGGCGGTTCGGGGCGGGCACGGGGGGCTGTGGCGGCGCGGTGGGCCCCTCCCGGGAGCAGTTGTTCTGGATCATGAGGTCCTCGATGCCGTGGACGGCGGAGTGGTAGGCCAGGTCCCCGCGGCAGGTGCGGGCCGTCCGGCGGGTGCAGCGCGAGTAGGCGCGCAGGACGTCGCAGTAGGCCGCGCTCCTGTGCGGGCCCTGCAGGTTGAGCGTGGAGGCCACATAGGCGGAGTTGCAGCGCAGGATCTTGCAGTGGGAGAGCGCTGTGTGGCGGAAGCAGAGCGCCCCTGCGGGTGAGGGAGGGCAGCACGTCCTGGCGGGATCCCCGGGATCCCCACCCCGCCCTCCGAAGCCCTCCAAAGCCCTGCCCCGCGGCCCTTTTCTTGGCGAGGAGGCTGGCCGGGGGGCTGAACTGGCCCGCTCCCACATCCTTGCCCCGGGAGATCCAACTCGCAAGCCACATCCTTGCTTCTGTGCAGGAAAGGCGCCTAGGTACCAAAGCATCGGGTCGTGCTTGTTTCTCCTTTCCTGAACTTGCACTAATCTGTAGGAGACTTTGCCTTTGGGGTAAGACGCGCTCTTCCTAGCAGATAATGCAGGAATGCGTGACTCACACGACCGACCGACCCCGGACTCCAGGGAGGCGTCCCTGGGCCATGGGAACGGCGGGGAGGGGGGAGCTTGGGACGCCGCGTCTCGTCTCTTTGCAGGGTGGCTCCCTTCACAAGGGCCGTGCCCCGTGTCCTTCCTGCTGGCTTTCAAGTTAGGCGCTCACCCCCTTGACTGCACCCCGTGAAGTGGAAAAGTCGCCTGCAGCCCACGCGGTCCAGTTTTTGCGGACGACGGAGCACCTGCTGGCTGCTGGGGGTTTGCAAAGCGTTCTGGCCTGATCCAGCGCCCGCACAGGAGGACTCGCGCCCAAGAGGGACCCGCCACAAAACGTTGCCGTGTGCAGCGCCGCAGGGTCCCCTGCCGGCCTTCCCTTTCTCCTTCAGGCCACGCTCCATGGCCTCTGAGCACACGGATTCCTTCTTTCTGCTCCCCCTAAGGATTTTTTCGGGGGGGGGCGAGGGAGGGGGTACTTCTGCAAATCTTGGGACTCACTCTTAGGCGTGGATGGTGCAGTTTTGGCTGCATAAGCAGAACCCTTGGAAATCTGAATTTATATAAATATATGGTAGTATGGTAGCAACTGTTACGAAAAGGGAAAGCCACAGCGTTCTCCACAGGCGTTCTCCGTACTCCAGGAGATACCAAGGCAAGCCCCCGCGTCCCGTCGCTTCTTCTGGGTCTGCTCGCCCTCCTCCCTCCCTCCCGCTCAGCGTTCCTTTCCCTCATTTCCTTGCGTATTGCTTCTGTCCTGGATTGTCAGCCTGCTGGCCAGGCCTGCCTGTTCTGCTGCCCTGGGGAGCCTTTTGAAGCTGAGCAGCAGGACAAAAATGCCCGAGAAACCCACATTCCACTTGCGGCACACATTCCGGTGCTTTGCTTGGGCTCGGGGAGCTGCAGGAGTAAGTCAGCTTCCCAGGGTCTTACCGTGCCTACAGGACAGGAGAAGGAAGAGTGTTTTGAGGAGGAGGTCGGTGCTGGCGGAGCGACGTGGCCTCGTGCGGAGGGGCCCCTTCCCCATGCCAGTCCATCCAGAGCCTCTGGACACTGCTCAGCCGAGCCGCTCCCCGCCTCCTTTCTCGTGCACCGGTGTTCTGCGGGGGGAATGCACAGGAGACGAGGTGCCACCACACAGAGCCATTCGAGTGCCCCTGTCTGCCCCAGGCTGGCCGCCCCCACGCAGCCGATCTCCTCCTGCAGCCCCCGGACTTTGGAACGCTGCTCCAAATGCCACTCTGGCGTCGGTTGTTTCCGGAACAAGGGAAGCTCCCAGCCTTCGAAGAGGGTGGGTGGGTTCCTGTTCTCAGCGCCAGTGCCCCTCGCCATAAAGGGGTGCTGGAAGAAGGCCGGCAGGAATCTGCGCTGTGCTGGCGGACCGCTGCTTGCCGGAAGGAGCCACAGAGCGGTTCGCCTGCACAGCCCAGGTTCCCGCCGGCCTTCTTTCACCACATGTCTGCAGCGCCAGCCCCTGCCGTCACCAAGTCGTGGAACATCACCAACTTCCCGAGGTCTCCCGGCTCGCCTCACCTCTTCCCCTCAGGATGCCCAACTGATCCCAAAGGAGCCACCGGAGCATTTCTGTGCTTGTCCCAGAATACCGTTTCCTGCCCCTCTCGGGAGTCCCGCCGCTCTCCCTGGTTTCCGAAGTGATGCATGTCCCGGTTGTCCCAGCTTTTAACCACGGGGCCTTCACTTGCATCGGTAAACAATGGGGAAAACCTTGGCCCGGCTTCCTGGCTGGCAGCTAATGATCAACTAATGGGTCCCTGCGCAAGAGCGGCTCTGGGCTAGCAAGTCCACAATGACACGGCTGATTTCGGGGCTGGCCGAAGATGGAGCGACGCCAGAAAGGAAGGGGGCTGCCTTTCGCCGCCTCACATCGGGCCAGGCGTTCGATCCAGTGAGGCCGGTTTTGTGCGCACGGCCACTGCTTTCCAAGCCCTTCCGAGAAGCTGCGAACCGAACGCAGGGCTTTCCCCAGGCAAGCAAGTGCTTTGCCCCGGGGCTCCAGCCTCCCCTCCCTGCTTTCCCGGCCGGGTCCCGAAATCGCGGCAGCGGTGGCTTTTCCCTGCAAGCCTCTCCCACGCAACCGGCACTCAAGAAGCCCACTCTCTTCCCTTGCGTCTGTTCCTAATACCGCAGCCACGAGGCTCCCCTCAAGCCACCGCGCCCATTCAGCTCTCCCTTGGCGGCCTCTGGTGAGAAAGCTCCCATGTCCAGCGCTGGGGTCTTTTTCTGAGAGCGCGCCCCCGGTCACACTGGCCTGTTTGGGTCTCATCCTGACCTTTTGTAGAGGGAAACCCCATGGGTTTGGATCTGAGCCCGGGAGGCAGGCGGACTTCCCCGGGGTTTGGGCAAGCGTGTGAGGCAGAGAGGCCCAGAGGCACAAGCCAAAACGGGTGTTGCAGGACCCGCGGCAGCGTTTCAGCCCTGCACAGACTCCATCCCTCGGCTGGCCTGCACAGCCCAGGTGAGGCAGTTCCCCAAGAGCCCGGCCCCAGGGCCAGGCGGAGGCCCCGGGCTGCTTTTGCCTCGGCCACCCCGCTGCCGAGCTGCACACACCTGTCCGTGGTATGTTGGGAAGAGGAACTGGAGGGGAAGGGCCGGGCAGCTCCGCAGCCCTGCCACGGCTCTGGCCCCAACCCCAAACCCCTCCTTGGCTTCATCTCGGCCCATGCCTTTTCTGTAAAGGTGAGGTGACCGGTGAAAATGCAAGTGCCTCTGAGCATATGCAGAGTATCTTCTCTCACTGCGTCTTGTCTTGGCATTCTTGGAAGGAAGGCACAAACTGCTCTCGGTCAGGCAGCTGCTTGTGCTCCCTGCATCTCTCTTTCGAAAATAAAATGCAGGATATGATTTTTAGTAGAAACGATGAGCCAGAACTCTTACCTGAGCATATGCTAGAAACCCATTTGGCAAACTCCCCCTGTGGGAGACGGGCAGGTCTCGCCCCGGCTCCCTTGCGCTCCGGCCCTGGCTTCCCCCGGGACGGCAGGGAAAAAGCGGCGAAGCCCCTGCGATCCTGCAGCCTGCAGCCTAAAGCAGCTGAGCACTGCAACTCGATCTGTCCCCCAAAAGGCAAAGGTCTAAGTGGACGCTTTAAAAATAGGCCGTCGTATTTTGGCTCCCAAAAGCAGCATTTGGGGGCGGGCAGAAGGGGCGCATTGCAGCGAGGGCCGGTTTTATTTTAGCAGCGGACACCTGGCACATCCACACATGCGAGAAGACAAAGGCACGTGGTTCCCAGCTGGGTTGGGAACCGGGGCAGCCCTGCCTGAGTATCCGTGCAGCGGAACACCCGCGTGGGAGCCTGAGCGCACGCTCCGTGGCCCCTTTCCGGCCCCCTTGCACTGTTTTAAACTTCCCTGTGCAGCTTATGCACCCTTGGGCCCCACCTGGTCTGGCCCGGCTGTCCAGTCTCCGCTGCCCAGTTCATCGTGGCGGCAGCCCGGAAAAGACTTTCTGCCACCCTGAACTGGGCACGCCCTGGAAGGGAGAGGCCTGTGGAAACAGCCGCTCGGCTTCCACGGTGCCGGCCTTCAGCTTCTGCCTCAAGGAATCCCGCGTCTGCTCAACACATGCCACCCCGTTCTGGCTGCTTTTCCGCTTCCCTTGCCCAGCTTTCCCTCTGCTGCCGCCATAGACTCATGGAATATTAGAATCATAGAGCTGAAGGGGGCCATGAAGGCCATCGAGTCCAGCCCCCGCTCTTGCAGGGCACCAGGTCACACCGTCCCACTCAGGTGGCTGCCCAGTTTCTTCTTGAATGTCTCTAGTGTGGGAGAGCCCCCCACCTCTCTGTTCTGGTGGTCCCGCTGCCGTGTTGCTCTGACCGTGAGGAAGCTTTTCCTGATGTCCAGCCTGAACCTGGGTTGTCCCAACTTCACTTGATTCTTCCGTGTCCTGCACTCTGGTTCCTGCAAGAAGAGATCTTGGCCTTCCTCTTTGTGGCAGCCTTGGAGGTCCTTCTAGAGGGATATTATGTCCCCGCTCAGCCTTCTCTTCTCATGGCTGAACATGCCCAGTTCCCTCAGTCTCTCCTCACAGGGCAGCGTTTCCAAACCCTGGATCATTTTTGTTGCCCTCCTCTGCACCCTTTCTAATTTACCTGCCTCTTTCTTAAATCTTGGCACCCAGAATTGGACACAGTATTCCAGATGGGATTAGACTAGTGAGGGGTATAGGGGAACTGCTACTTCTCGTGATTTGGAAGTAATACCTCCGTTACTGCATCCCAAAATAGCATTTGCTCTTTTGGCAGCTGCATCACATTGTTGGCTCATATTTAGTCTGTTATCCACAATAACGCCAAGGTCTTTTTCTTCCTCAGTTCTGTTGAGCCATGTATTCCCCATCTTGTATCGATATTTGGTTTCTGTTTCCCAGGTGGAGGACTTGGCTCTTGTCCTTATTGAATCTCATGCTGTTGGTTTCAGCCCAGTGTTCAGGTGTATCAAGATCGCCCTGGATCTTCATTCTTCTTCCAGGGTGTTTGCTATTCCACCCAGTTTTGTATCATCTGCAAATATCATTATCTGTGCTTGTACTTCCTCTGGACTGCAAGATCCTTGGGCCCAGGATGGGCCAGACGGTTCTGTAGAGGCAAGGAACATCCCCAGGTCTGTGTGGGGCTGACTCGCCATCCCAAGCCAGTCGCTCCCAGTGCTTCTGATGGGGTGGGAGCTCGGGGTCACACGGCTCTGGAGTGGGGGCTGAGACCATGCAGTCTGCCCGCTGTTGCACCCCGTATGTGCAGGTCGGAGCCGCAAGATCCACATTTCAGGCAAAGCTCCTGGAAGTTGCTTCATCTGCCAGACGCATCCAGTGGATGAGCCGCTTCTCACGTCCAGAGGATCTTCCTCAACCAACCTCAGCGGGACAATCTGGAGAGAGGCGGAGGAAGGCTGGACACCGCTCTGGAATCTGTGGAAGAGAACGGCTGGACTTGGCATCAAAAGGAGGCTCCCGCTGCCCTCGGACACGGTGGGGGCAGAACTTCAGAATCTACCCAAGGGCAGCTCCTTTGCAAGTCTGGCTGAGCTGGGCCTTCCTTCCTATCGGGCAGATCGATTTCTTTGCAATGCAAGGAAGAGACATCTTCTCTCCATTCATAGCTGCCTTCCAAACATTTGAAAATAGTTTTGTCTGCCCCACACATGCACACACACACACGTGCGCACACACAACACTCATGTCCCACGGGGAGGGGCTGCAGCTCCGGGCCAAAGCTTTGCATGAAGAGGGATGCAGGCCAGTCCTGCGCATCTCCCTGGGTGGGGCAAGGAGGGGGCCTGGCCGGACGCCCCAGGGAGCTGGCAGTCCTGCTCGCTGGGCCGAGGAGGCAGTGGCCGGGCCCCTCGGAGAGCCCGTTTCCCCAGTGGGCAAAGCCAAGGCAGTTCTGTTCTGTGGCACCTGCACCCTGCTGCCTTTGGCCGAGCCAGCAGCACCGAGGGAGCTGCAGAGCACCCCCTTGTACAGCGGCCGTGCCTGTACCAGCTAAGAGACACCCAGGAGAACAGCGGCAGCGTGGTGGAGTCCTCCCAGTGGTCGAACCCCAGGCTGGGGACCGCAGGACAGGCTGAGAGGCCCTGTCCCGCGGCATTTTCCTTGCTCCAGAAGATGTGGAGCAGGGGATCCGGGAAGGGCCGACGGGACCCGACCGCAGCCCTGGTGGTGGGCAGGGTGGGGTGGGCGGGAGAAGCTCCCCCCGCCCGTCCTGCAGCAGCACCTCCAGCGCCTCGCGGTGTGCGGCGGCCTTTGGGAGACGGGCTGCGAGGAGCCCCCGCGGAGAGTCAGCGGGGGGGAAGCACCTGTTTCTGAGCTGGCATCTGTGGAGGGCAGCGGGAGCGGGGCGGGAGCGTGTGCTTAAAACGGGAACCGTCCGGGAAGGGAAGGGCCGGGGGGAGTCTAAAAAAAGACGGCGGCAGATGGAGCGAGGGCGAGATTCCATCCCGTGCGGCTGCTGCTCGGGTGAGGGCTTCCCGGCGGTCCTGCCCTGGGGAGGGGCCGTGGTCCACAGCC